AAACCAAACCTGAACTGAACATGAACATGCTCTAAAAGTTCAATCGAGTTCAGTTCAAAATTCGAACCAAACTCAAACTTAACACAAGTTTGGTTTGGGTTCAGGTTTGATCAGGTTCATAGAAACACTAACATATGTATATAAACATGTACATATTAGATAATAACATTATTACTCAAACATGCTAAGAACAAATTAAATTTGATTAATTATTTTTAAGTTATTTATATATAAGCCAAGAGAACCATTTAGCATTCAATTTACAATATAAATTAACTAGTAACTTTATTTATTAACATTCATCAGCAAATTTAATAAGCTAAAATATTTTGAAATAATTTACAATCTGTAAAAAAGCTGTAATATTATGTAATATATTTTGAAAACTTGCGAAATATAAAAATATATTACGTAATATATTTTGGAATATTTTGGAATATTTTGAAAATTATTTTGGAATATTTTTACAAAAATTCAAAACATTGCGAAAGTTTTTAATTGTGTACTATGTTACATACAGTATATATGAGATTAGATCTTGTTTATCCCTAATATTAGATATTGTTTTGTTTTTCGTTTTCTTTTTTATTTTTCTTTATTAACTTTATTTTATTTTATTTATTTTTTTTATTTATTTATTTTTATTTATTTTATTTATTTATTTATTTATTTTATAGCACACCTATCCACTTTGAATCTCTCTAATACTTTGCAAGAATACCAACCTGAATTATAAACTTTTATTAAATCTTGGAAACAAAGAGTAAATATTGTGTTTTTTATTATTTATTTTATTAATAATTTTTTTTGCTTCACCAAGAAATCTTTTTTTTGGGTTTGTCTCTGTTTTTTTATTTTTTTATTTTTATTTTTTACTAATGTTTTTCTTCTTTTTAGGCTTTTACTTTGCTGGAATGGTGATTTGGAACCAGGCTTGAGCTTTTGGAATTAGAATCAGGCTTGGTAGTACAATGATAAGTACCTTTTTTTTTTTTTAATTTCTTGTTTGTCTTTTGTTTTTACTAATGGTTTTTTTTTTTAGGTTTCGCTTTGCCGGGAAACGTTATTAAAACCAGAATTAAGATCTTGAAACCGGGCTTGAGATCTTGGATTGGTCTTGAGATTCTGAACTGGAAACTGTACAAAGATAAGTATGAGTCTTTTTTGTTTTTTTGTTTTTTTTTTTGGTTTTTTTTTATTAATATTTTTCTTCTTTTGCTCTACCATGAAGGTGTATTAGAACCGGACTTGGGATCTTGGAATCAAGCTTGAGATCTTGAAGCTGGAAGCTGATACAATGATAAGTACCAATTCTTTTTTTGTGTTTTTGTGTTTTTGTCTTTTATTTTTTACTAATGGTTTTCTTTTTTCTAGATTTTACTTCGCCAGGAAATGTTATTAAAACCAGGATTAAGATCTTGAAACTGGGCTTGAGATATTGGAATTGGTCTTGAGATTCTGAAACGGAAACTGTACAAAGATAAGTATGAGTCTTTTTTGTTTTTTTGTTTTTTTTTGTTTTTTTTTATTAACATTTTTCTTCTTTTGCTCTACTGGGAAGGTGTATTAGAACCAGACTTAGAATCTTGGAATCAAGCTTGAGATCTTGGAGGCAGAAGCCAGTATAATAATAAGTACTAATTTTTTTTTTGTATTTTTGTATTTTATTTTTTACTAATGGTTTTTTTTTCCAGGTTTCACTTCACTGAGAAAGGTTATTAACTTAAGATCTTGAAACTGGGCTTGAGATCTTGGAATTGGTCTTGATATTCTGAAACTAGAAACTGTACAAAGATAAGTATAAGTCTTTTTTTGTTTTCTTGTTTGTTTTTTTTGTTTTTTTTTATTAATGTTTTTCTTCTTTTGCTCTACTGGGAAGGTATATTAGAACCAGACTTGAGATCTTAAAATCAAGCTTGAGATCTTGGAGCTGAAAGCTGGTACAAAGATAAGTACCAGTTTTTTTTTGTATTTTCTTGTTGTCTTTCATTTTTATTAATAGTTTTCTTCTTTTTAGATTTTTGCTTTGCTGGGAAATGTTATTGAAACTGGGCTTGAGATCTTGGAATTGGGCTTGAGATCCTTGAACCGGGAACTGATATAAAGATAAGTACCAGTCTCTTTGTTTTATTTTTTTATTTATTTTTTTTTACTAATGTTTTTCTTCTTTTTAGGCCAGAATAGTGATTTGGAACCGGACTTGGGATCTTGAAATCAAGCTTGAAATCTTGGAGCCGGAGCTGGTACAATGATAAGTACTAATGCGTTTTTTGTGTTTTTGTCTTTTTTATTTTTTACTAATAGTTTCTTCTTTCCAGGTTTTTGCTTTGCTGGAAAAGGTTTTTTTGGAATGGTGAAATGAAACTGAACTTGAGATTTTGAGCTCATAGTGCTAGAAACTGGTACAAAAATAAGCACAAGTCTTTTTTTTTGTGGTTTTTCTTCTTTTTTTGAGAGGTTTTTTGCTAGAAATGGTGAAAATAATGGAAATGATGTATTGGAATCAGCCGATTTTTTGTAATTTAAGTAATTATATTGTAATAAATATGTAATAAAGTAATATTTTAATAAATAAATATATATGTATAGAAATATTAATAATAAAAAAATATTTTTAATAAAATAGAATTTTGCAGTATTATTTTTTTTATATTTGAAATATTGCACAAAATTTTAAAATATATTCGTAATATTACGTAATATTACATGATATTTTGAAATTTATTTCACAATATTTCAAAATTTATTACATGATATTTCGAAATTTATTTCACAATATTTCAAAATTTTTTATGTAATATTCTGTAATTTATTTCGAAATATTCTGCATCGATTGTAATTATTGCGCAATATTTCTAGACATAATAACTTATGTAAGTTTATGTTTATATATTTTGCTGATGTTAAATAACATGCTAAAAATGAATTAGATTTGATCAATCATTTTAAGTACAATAACAAGTATTAATAAAGACCTTTAATTAATGACTTTTATAGAAAATAATCTTTTAAAATTAATATTAAATACAAATTTTTAGTAAAACAAGACAATAAAGTGATTTTCCCTTAAACCATTTGTCAATTGAGGCAAATTTGCCTCCAAATTTTCTAATGCTCACCTATACTTCAACCATGACAAAATAATAGAAAATATGATAAAAAACTTTACACCACAGTATAAAACTATTATTTATTTGTTATTTGTATTTATAATACTTAATAAAACAATCTGGATAGTACTTATTGAGACATAAAAGCAAATTACACACTGTATATCATATTTGACTTTGTGGTGAATTTTTATTGTATTCTTGCTCAGCCATATTTTTAAACCAGGACCAAATGCAAAAACCTCTCCATTTATGATATTGTTTAGTGACTTTGTGGGTATAATCATTCAATGAGTAAGTTAAATTTCTTTTGTAACACAAAATGATCTTTGTCGATCATCTGTAACTCTGACTGAATTATTGCTTGTTTTGTCCATATATGTAATATCAGTCACCTGATTTGTCACACTTATTTACATCTAAATTTTTTATATATAAAATTATAACAAAAACATATAGAATTACTTATAAACTTTGAAGCTGTGATGTTTTTTCCCTTATATATTAACTTTAAATTAAATTTTATGAATAAATACATCATAAAAAGGAGAATAAAATTGCTTTTGAAGCTGAATTAAAATTTTGCAATTTTTGTACAATTTAAAAATGTAACTTTGCCAAAAGAAAAAAATTGACAGTTTTAAAGCAATAATTATATATAAAATTATACTCTGAACTAGTGTTCCGCAGAACCGAACCGAAACCCGGAATCGAACCGAGAACCAGCCCATCAGGTCGAGTCCAGTCCCATGATTTTAGAACCGCCCGGTTTCAGTTCTCAGAGGCGGGTACCCGGTAGACCTGCATAGACCTGCATAAATTATCACCTGACTATAATGAATAAAATTTTAAAGTTTCAATACGTAATTGATCTTGTATTCTAATTTTAACAATATGCCGGTTAGCGCTGCATATAGTACCTAAAGGTTGGACACGGATAAAGCTATTCGGGTAACCCGCAGATACAACAGATATCCGGTTAAGATATTTGTTATCCGGGTAGATTAACCAGATAATTAACCGGGTAAAATATAAAATTTGCAACTTTGATTATATACTGTGACGAAAAATAATGTCACGTTTGTAAATAAGCTTTTTGTAACCTTATAGTTTAGTGTAGTTACAAGGTTACTTTAATTAGACTTTCATATTGATGTATCATAATTACGTAGTAGTATAAGTCTAATAAGATGTATATAAATAGGAAGAGTCAGCTTGTGTTAAGAAATATTGTGTGGAGTGAACAAAAGCTGAGAGTCAGCTTGTGTTAAGAAATATTATGTGGATCGAGTGAGGAGGAGCACAAGCTGAATTCATATTGTATTAGAAAAAAATTAATAAAGTAAACACAACTCGAATCCGTGCTGTGCTAGGTTGAAGAAATCTAAAAATAACTGAGAAACAAAAACTGAATTCAGTTTGTGTTGAGCTAAAAATAACTGAGGAACAAAAACCGAATTCGGTTTGTGTTAAGCTAAAAATAACTAAGCAAAATTTATTTTATATGTTAAAGCATCAAATCGCAAGACTTTTCAGAGTATTATCGATAAAATAATTACCATCCCAAAGCTTACATATAATGAGTGCTAAGAAGTATAAACAAAATAAAACTGTGCTAATCATAATTAACAATAGTATGATCGATAGCTCTATATAATATTTTCAACTAAATGCAGAAACACATACATTGGCTAGTAACTAAACGAACACAATTATATTATTATAAATTGAAAATAAATTAAAAGTACAATAATAATGGTTCAGAATAATAAGTTTCATAAATTAATTGAATTAAAATATGAAACTTAAATTTTGTAAAGTATATAAGCTTGAATATTCATTTTTTGTAAAGAGATATGAGTTTAACTTATCATCTATCGCTATATTATAATGGAAGATTCTGACAATTCACATCTCTATACAGACCAATCTTTTACAGATGATTATGAATATGATTCCTATACAGATTCTTATAATGATCTCCATGTCGATTCTTATAATAATCCTCATGCCAGTTCTTTTAATGATCCCTATACCGATTCTTACAATAATCTCTATGCTAATTCTTATAATGATCTCTATTCCAATTCTTACAATGATCTCCAAGTCAATTTTTCTAATGATCCTCATAATATTGGATCTGATAATTTAGAAAATAATGAATTATCCCAAGCAGAAACTGTTACTAGTGAGAAAAGTTCTATATATAAATCATTCGTATGGAAGTATTTGATAAAACAAAAAACACTTCTTATGCTAAATGTAGGCTTTGCCTTAAAAACAAAGGAATAATAAAATGCGCTGAAGGCTCAATATCAAGTCTTAAAAAACACCTTACTATACATAAAGGAAAGGTGCCTGAATTAGATAAAGGAAAATCAAATATCACTGTTGTAGACATGCTAAAAAATCAATCATCTGTTAATAATCATCCTCGTGAATCTTTTAATTTAGCACATTTTCAAAATCTTATCAAATATTGGATTATTAAACACAATCGACCATTTAATATTATAGAAGATAATGATCTTAAAAAAATATTTTTATATTTAGAACCTAATGCCATTGCACCATCAGCTGATTTGGTAAGAAGACATATTATCAATAACTTTGAAGAAGAACGTAATAAGCTTTATGTAAGATTACAAGAAATTCTCGGAAAACTTTCAATAACGACTGATATATGGACAACGGATAATAATGACAAATCATTTATGGCAATTACACTTCATTATATAAATGCATCTTGGAAATTAAAAAACATTCTTTTGGATTTTATAAATATGGATGGACCACATTCAGGTTCTGAGATTGCTAATAATATAAAAGACTGTCTTCAATCTAATGGAATTTTATCAAAGTTGATCGCAGTTACACATGACAATGCTTCTTCTAATATTAAATTTGTACAGGATTTTTCTAGTCTTATGACACAATTAGATTTGCAATTTGATTATAATCAACAATCCATAAGATGTTTCGCTCATATTCTAAACCTTGCAATTCATAGCATGTTAAGTGTTATAGGAGTTAAGCTAAATAAACTACGTAATTTAATTAAATGCATTCGAGAATCACGATTATGTCGCAAAAAGCTAAAAACAACTTGTTTAATACATAATATAAATATACTGAAACCAATTCTTGACGTGGTTACCAGATGGAATTCCACATATAATATTTGCAAACGAGCAGTAGTACTAAAAGCTGTATTGGATTCAATAACTTTTGCTGAAATAGAATTACGTCAATATATACTTACAGATGAAGACTAGAAAAAAATCGAGCTTCTAGTTGAGGTTTTGCATCCATTCAAAGATACAACAAAAATTATGTCTGCATCAGAATATCTGACTCTAACAATGACTGTTCCTTTATATTATACACTGTTTGAAACTCTCGAGGAAGTTAAAAACAAATATGATCCGTCATTTTGGCTTGTCCAAGGGTGTGATGCTGCAAAAAAAAAACTTATGAATTATTGTAATAAAACAAATGTTTTACATCTTGCTTCAGTGGTATTAGATCCACGACTTAAGTTTTATTTTTTTGAATCACTTAATTTCCTACTACAACTTATTGTTGATATTAAAAACATTATTAAAAATAAGTATGAAAATGAATATGCATCATTTTCTAATCAAAATACATTGCATGAAACTATTATACAGTCTACAATAATGACACAGATTTATAAGCCAATAAATACAGATCAACAAAGTGAATTAGATATCTATTCCTCAATGCCATGTGCAGATCCAAATATTAATATATTAGAATGGTGGCAAATAAATCAGGCAAATTATCCAAATCTTGCAAAATTCACACAAGATTATCTTTCAATTCCTAGAACAAGTGTTCTAAGTGAACAGGTATTTAGTGTCAGCAGTGATATGATAACTAATAAACGGAACTGACTAAGTGAGAAAACAGTTCAATCAGCTATGTGTTTAAGATCATGGTGGAAGGAATATCAAGATTAATTAGGTACTGTACATTTATACAATTCATTTT